AATTGCCTGTCCTACTCAGGACTGCAATTATTCTGCCTGTACAGGTCTCTTTTTTTTTTTTTTTTTTTTTTTTGCGGTACGCGGGCCTCTCACTGTTGTGGCCTCTCCCGTTGTGGAGCACAGGCTCCGGACGCGCAGGCTCAGCGGCCATGGCTCACGGGCCCAGCCGCTCCGCGGCATGTGGGATCTTCCCGGACCGGGGCACGAACCCGTGTCCCTTGCATTGGCAGGTGGACTCTCAGCCACTGCGCCACCAGGGAAGCCCTACAGGTCTCTTCTAAATAGCTCTCATGTTTCTTGTCACAAAGCATCTAATTGGTAACAACAAAAGATTCACTAAAATAAGGGCACAAACTTTTGGCCTTTAAAATTCAAATTTTAAACAAAAATACACTTAGATGTTATAGTTTAGCTAAGCATGTAGTACAATAGAGCCATGTTAGTCAGAAAGGGAACTAAATCACATGCTTTTTTTAATGATCAGGTTTACTTTTTAAAAAATTTTTTTGGCTGCGTTGGGTCTTTGTTGCTGCGTGGGCTTTCTCTAGTTGTGGCGAGCGGGGGCTACTCTCCGTTGTGGAGTGCGGGCTCCTCATTGTGGGGGCTTCTCTTGTTGCAGAGCGCGGTCTCTAGGCATGCTGGCTTCAGTAGTTACAGCACGTGGGCTCAGTATTTGCGGTGTGTGGGCTCAGTAGCTGTGGTGCATGGGCTTAGTTGCTCCGTGGCATGTGGGATCTTCCTGGACCAGGGCTCGAACCCGTGTCCCCTGCATTGGCAGGTGGATTCTTAACCACTGTGCCATCAGGGAAGTCCCTCACTTGCTATTTGTGTTCCTAATAAAAGGAGTGATGGTGATCAACAATTTTATTATGACAAGTAGTTTTCTAACTTCTGTTCATTAGGAAGCTTTTCAATCTTTCTTCTTTTCCCTCCTTTCAGTGAATCCTGTAAATTAGTGGCCTGAGACAACAGACCCATTTTTTAGTGTCTATGTATGTTTTGGTTCTTTACCTAGGAGATTGGGAGCCAGCTTTTCCCTTCCCCTTCTCCCTTTTCGGTTTCAGGCCATAATGTAATTGACTTTAGCTTTAATGCCATTAAATAGGAATAGGTCTAGTGTCCAGCCGAGTTCCAAAGTAGTTTCACCATCTGGTACCTTCCATGTGGTACCTTGGGTGAATATTTCTTATCTGTAAATTAAGGACAATAATATTACTTAATGGGAATATTTTGAAGGTCATATTATTTGGGAAGAGCTCCTTCCTTATTCATGTCTTTTTTACCCAATATTAGTTGGAAAATTTTGGCCAAAGACAAATCTCATATTTCATGATGCTACAAAATATCTCTGAACGTTAAGAGTCTTTTTAGAAAGGAAGGGTTAGCAAAAATAGAATAAGCATTCCATAGTCATTATACTGTAATTCCTTCCAGTCTTCAGGCAGTCCTGAGGGGAGGAAGGCCTGAGAGTCATCATCTCTTGCACGTCAACTCATTCTGGTTGCACTCTTGTACAGCATAGTTCATATTTACGTCACTGTGGCATTTCCCAGGGTTTAGAGTAAGTAGAAAATTTGGCTTCCGTTATTTTTTTGTTTTTTTTTTTTTGCGGTACGCGGGCCTCTCACTGCTGTGGCCTCTCCCGCTGCAGAGCACAGGCTCCAGATGCGCAGGCCCAGCAGCCATGGCTCACGGGCCCAGCCGCTCCGCGGCACGCGGGATTCTCCCGGACCGGGGCACAAACCCGCGTCCCCTGGATCGGCAGGCGGACTCCCAACCACTGCGCCACCAGGGAAGCCCCTGGCTTCTGTTTTTTCCTGAAGTTTCTCTCAAAAATATGCCTGGCCATGTACTGTATAACTTCCTCCCTTTTTTCTTTCATTCATTTCATAAACTTCAGCACCTATCATGTATGTGGCAACCTGCCATGGTTACATACAACAGCAAAAACCAAGAGTAGCCCAGAGACAAATCCTCACATTCTTGAGAACGCCCGCCTAGGGAGAAGTCACAGAGCCTGAGCTCCAGGCCAGAGTGATCAAGGCGGTAGCTAATTCACCGAGTAGATCCTACACCGAGTGTCTCAAAGGCTTTCAGTGTTTAGTGTCTTTCTATTTTTATTTAATTTCTGAAAGGATCCACACACACGACTTTCAATTTTTTTTTTTTTTTTTTTTTGCGGTACGCAGGCCTCTCACTGTTGTGGTCCCTCCCGTTGTGGAGCACAGGCTCCAGATGCGCAGGCTCAGCGGCCATGGCTCGCGGGCCCAGCCGCTCCGCGGCATGTGGGATCTTCCCGGACCAGGGCACGAACCCATGTCACCTGCATCGGCAGGTGGACTCTCAACCACTGCGCCACCAGGGAAGCCCACGACTTTTAAAATTTAAAAATTTCTAAGATATTTTTCAACATATTCTTTATTTGAAAGCTGACAGTATTGAAATGATAACAGAAAAAAAGAGAAGCAATAAAGATTTTTCCTGTTCTGTTCAATCAAACTTTATCAATACTGTACATTTCTGAAATGACAGTGAATTTGAATCTCTTAAGCCTGTACATGACTCTTATCTACCTTGGGGTGGAGCATAATTGAGGATTTGGCTTTCATTGATTTTGTGTGTGTGTGGATTTGTTCCTTTTTTTCTCAAGAATGGTCAAATTCTCAAATATCCTAGGGTATGCTCCAATCTCCTGCTGGTGTTCCCCCCCTCAGGATCTCTCTTTTGCGGGGGGAAGGCAGAGAACCATCAGGTATCTCCGTTTTTTCTTGATCTCAGGCACAGAGGGGCCTTTGGCTTAGCGACGGTACTGCCTGAACCCCTGGATCCCCAAGGCATACACAGTCAGCAGACAGCCCAAAGGATGTCCTGATGGTCTGGGCTGACCTTGGGACTGGCTTCTAGGGCCCCATATATAGCCCTCTGCACTTTGAATCAGGCCAGCTCAACACTTCCCCAGGCTGGTGGTTTGTTCTGGGATAACTGAAAGTCTGAAAACCACTCTAAAAGAGCCTACCTCCCAGGTACTTCTTTCCTTAAACAGAATGGATGAAGATGGACTAGGAAAATTACTCCTAGAAAAATTTCCTCTGATAAGAGCGAGTAGAGCCTGCTTGTGTTGGATATACTGTTTGCCCCTACCCCTGCCCCTGGAACCCACTGCCCTCCCTACCCAATATCTGAGTCCTGGACTAGGTTGCAGTCTCCCTAGCCCTTTGGCGTCCAGTTGGATTTGGCCAAGGGGAACCTCTTTCAGGAGAAAGAAGGGACTTCCCTGGCGGTCTAGTGGTTAGGACTCTGTGCTTCCACTGCAGGGGGCCTGGGTTCAATCCCTGGTGGGGGAACTAAGATCCTGGAAGCCAGGAAGCACGGCCAAAAAGAGAAGAATGGAGGGTGGGAGGCAAGAGAGGTCAGTGTGTTCCTTCCCACTGCTGTCTCCTGGACAGGAGGTGGCCCTGGCAGTGGCTGTCACCAGCTATAGCTCCTGTTTTGAGCCCCCTGTCCAGGACTCTATTTCCCTTCCTTTACACCAACTAGTTTAGGGGAGATAACCTCTTCCCACTGTTGTTAATCCCTGTGTCGATCCCCAAACTCTGCCCACATCCTAGTAAATTGTCCCTTTTACTTTATAAAGCCTTTTGAATTAAAATCTTTGCATGTGCCATCTATTTTTCTCCTGGGAAGGACCTTGACTGATACAGCCATACATGTTGTACTGCCTCCACCTGGAAAATCCCAAAACCTTTCCGAGATTAGAAGCAGCCACCTCCTAGGATGTGTCCGCATCCACCTTCAACACCTACAGCTACTACAAAATCCAGGACCGGAGTCATGATTTGCTAGACTGGGATTTCTTCCAGGGCATGAACACTGTTCTGAGCCTACGTGGAGGCCCGCACCCTCACCCCTTAGCCCAGCTCCCTGGCATAGGGTAGGTTCTCCATCCAAATTCCCTACCTAGGCAGCACCCTGGGGCCCCAAGAGCCTCCAGCCTGAGCTGCTTTCCTCCCCTTCTCCTCCCCCATACCACCTGCGGAGCTGCTGGCACCTGTAGAATCTGGATTATCCTGCTGGCCAGCTGGTTTATTTCTCATTGTGCTTGACAGAAGGAAGTTCATCCACGTGATTTTTTGCAGTATCCAGAAAGGGCGGGTACGTTATGTCCTGTGGTGAAAAGCTTGTGGAGGAATGCCGGTTTTAATCTCACCCTCACACTGCCGCTAGCCCTGTCTCCCCGTCCACCGCCCCTCTCTCCCCCCCAAGAGCCTTGAAACGTTTTATTTTGACATGTGGGATTTGGGATTACAGTCTGTTCAACAGTGAGACAGGAGGAGGTGGCTATGAATAGCCCCTTGGTGTGTTACACACCTGAGACCTTTGCCCAAACGCCGCAGAGGAATTATTATTCAGGCTAGGCAGCCACGAGGCATGTTATTTTTTCAGGAACATTTACAGCTGGGTAGGCCTGATTAGCGAATGCGTCTGTTTTCTTGGTGGGAAGCACTTTGAACCACAAACGCGCACTAAAAGGCAATTGCTATGGAGACTGCGCCGCCTTTGCGGCGCATTTCTCTAGAGTTTTCTTCTCGGGGCGCTTCAGCATCCACGGGGTGTTCTAGGCACGCCGCTCGGAGAGGGGGCCTGGGCGCAGCAGTGTCCGGGGCGGGGGCAGCCCACTTGGGACTGGAACCCTCGGCCGGGACCGAAAGCTGGAGAAGGCCGCCCTAGGTAGTGTGTGTGTGTCGTGGGAGGGCGGGGAGAGGTTCTCCGGGTGCGCGGTACCCCAGCTCGCCCGCCTGTGCGGGCACCACGTGCAGGAGGGGTGCTTGGGGGCCCAGGGCGAGCAGCCGCGGTGGGTGACTGCGCCGCGTCCCGGGTCCCCGGGTACCGGGCGAGTGTCTGTGTGCGCTTCTGGGTGGGTGGAGGGGCCCGCGCCGGCCTGCTCCCGGTTGAGTGTGTGTGCGCGGCCGCGGCCCAGCGCCCCAGCGAGCGGTGCTCCCGGGAAAGCGCGCGCGCGCCCGTGCGGTGTGTGTGTGTGTGTGTGTGTGTGTGTGTGTGTGTGAGAGAGAGAGTGTATGACAGTGTGTGTCAGGTGACTTGGGTCACGCAGTCTCTCTCTCCCTCCTCTGGGGAGGAACTGCCGCGCTCTGGCTGACTCCTCCGCCGGCGGGCGGGCGGGCGGGGCAGAGGGGGCTCCGCGCGCGCTGCGAACGGCGGGACCCAGACCTGGACGCCGACCGCTGAGAGGGACGCGCGGCCCCCGCCTCAGCCCGCGAACCTCGGGACAAAACCCCAATTCAGAAATAGGTTGCGAGCGGCAGGCCGGGAGGTTTGGCGCCCCCCACCAGAGACCCCCGTCGCCCCGGGGACGGCCGGCCGTGGGCGCGATGAGCCAGGTGCTGGGGAAGCCTCAGCCGGAGGAGGAGGACGACGACGAGGAGGATGAGCTGGTGGGGCTAGCGGGCTACGGGGACGGGCCCGACTCCTCGGACGCCGAGCCGGACAGCGGGACGGAGGAGGGAGGTGAGCACCGGCTCCCCCGCTCGGCCCCGCGCCCCGAGCGTCCTCGGCCCGCACCCCCGCCGGGCCCGGCGCGCGGGCAGCTGACTTGGAGGGGATCCAGGCAAGCGGAGTTGGGGGGTGGGAGTGGGGAGGGGCGCCAGAGGAGCCGCGGCGAGATGCAAAATGGGGGAGCCCGGGTGCAGGCAGCGCTGAGCTGGGGCCGGGATCGGTGGAGAGGGCGGAGAGGAAGCGTCTGGGCAGGAGGAACGCGCGCTCTCTGCCAGTTCCAGGGCCAGTACCTCCCCCACGCCTCACCCCGAGCTCTCCGCAGGGTCCGGGGGTTTGGGAGGGGAGGGGACCGCCCGGCGCGCCCTGGGATCTCTCCCTGCATGCTGCTGTCGGATCCGGGGTCAGATGTCGTGGCTAAAAAAGGCAGCCGGCGGCAGCGTGACTGGCAGGGTCGTCGGCAGCTGCGGGTGTCAGTCTTAACCCCGTGTCGCCGCGGGAGGGGTCCCGGGGCCGCCCAGGTCGGCGGAGGGATGCACCCAGGTGATAAAGGAGTCGCCGTGTGGCCGCGGGTATCCAGAGATCCAGGCAAATAAGGTTGTTAGGACACCTTATCTCTGCTCAGCGTCACCACCTGGGCATGGCAGCGCCTGCCCTGGAGTGAGCGCGGGGCGGGGGAATACGGAGCCACTCAGAAGCGAACTCTGTTTCCTGTTCAAGAAGCAGGATTTAGCAATTGTTCAGCCAGCGGGGGCTTCCTGCGTTTAATTCTTAAGGACTAAAGGAGTTGAGAGCTTTTTAGGATTCCAGAAAGGTTCATCTTTTTTGTTTCCCTCCAAATCGAGGAAAAAGTCCTTTATTGTAAGGTCTTTTGGAAAGGTCAAGTAGAATGAGGCTGGTAAACATAACATCTAGGTGGAACTGTCAGCATCCTAAAGAAGGAACTAACTTTTAAAATGTTCACTTGGCAGAAATTGCATGAGGGATAAAAAGTACTTTCGTGACTGTTGATTTTGAAGAACTTTTATTGAAAATTCACTGGACTTGTTTTAAATTCTCCATACAAACAAAGCCTTTCTCGGGGGGGGGGTGAGTTTTCATTATTTTACGTATGGTGAATGCTACTTTCAATTAATCAGAAGGGGAAGATTGTTAACTAAACCTTGAGCCTGATAGATGAGAAAGGAGCTTTCCAAGTCGCCCTTTTTCATAGTGTCTGGTCCCCAGGGAGCATTTGTACTAATTCCCTATTTGCTTAAACTCGTGTGTGCATCTGTGCGCCTCTCTCTTCTGCACTCCCCATAACTGGTCCCACAGTCGAGCAGGTGGCCACATTTTTGTAGATGAAGGCTTTCAACCCTTTTGTTGGAGTCTCTAGGGCTACCTTTGGTGGTTAAATTGTTCAGTCGCTTCATTATTATTCAAATTGCGTTTGTTAGCCCCTCCTAGATTCTTCGGAGGCTCCGGAGAGATTCAGAATGGGGGTGTATTTGCAAGGTATTTGAAACGGAAGACACACAACAGGGTGCAATTGTGATCCTCTTTGAAAAAAAGGAAAAGAAATAAGAGACCATACATGGGAAGAAAAACCCTGTAATTTGATATTGTCCTGGGGGCCAGAGACTGGGTTCCAGGAAAAGCACGGGACCTGTTTGTTTATTCTGCAGTTCTTTAAGGGGGCACTTTAAAATTTTGATTTGGGGCCTTGAAGTGAAATTAACGCTTTGGCTGAGGGGCGGGGATTTCCTGAACAAAGGGCTTCCCCAGACCTGGGTGTAGGATGCTCCCCAGTGCTCCTAACCCTGGGCAAACCCGCCTGTAACTGATGCTTATGATTACTTTAGTAATAAAATCCTCCCTCGTGAGTTCTTGGTATCAAACTGAAATCTTGCTATAAAAGCCCTGCGTATATTTGTGTGGTAAGAAGAGCAAACATTACTGAAGCCTGGCCTTTCTCCACCTGGGCCTGCTGTGGATACGGTCTATTCTCTGAAGATTTCCTCCATTATCTTGGGCTGCTGTTCTTTCCATGTGTTGCTGGCTTTGAGTTTGGGGTTTAGGCCTGAATGTAGAATCTCTATCAGAACATTCGCTTTCTAGAGTAGCAGATAGGCCCCTCAGTCAGCAGTTCTAGCAAGGACTGTCCCTGACACCTGTCATGCCAGCTGATATGGTCCTGGGGAGTCAGGATGGGGGTGGAGGCTGGGAGTTGTGACTTCTGTTCCTGTGGCCTTCTGTTCCTGAGACAGCAAGGTGCCACCAAATGGTCATCCCGATTTCTAATGGGCCCTGGGCATGTGTTGCCTTATAACCCTGTGTTATTTGGGGTAAATTTTACATTTACCTACTCTCAAACTCAAGACGTGGAAAGTAGCGGGTGGGGAGGACTTATTTTCTCTGAGAAGAGATGTATATGGTGCACTTTGAACCATGAGCAAAGCATTTCTCTAATGAATTCCAAACCATCCTAATGGACTTGGTTTAGTGCCTGAGCTTCTCGGAGACCTGGGGCTTTTTCCATGAGGTTCAGAAATCTACCCTGGTGGGTGGGATGTAGGCCTGACCAGCATTGCTGTGCAAAAGAATGCGATTGAAGGTGGGTAGTGTGATTTTTACTTCCCATAGTCTTACAAGGAACCTCTGATCTTATTTTTAAACCGAGTGCCTTGTACCTTTTACCACACTGTGTTAAGGTTGAAAATGTGGTGCAGCTAAGGTGAGCCTTAAACTGCACTTCTTTGGCTTACGTTCCAAATTTTATTCATGAATAGCAGGCGTGTTCTTGAGCACTTTAGTTCTGTTAAGGACAGATTTGGGCACTTCTCAACCCCCCCTTTCAGGGTCGTTAATCAGAGATAAGATGAATCTCATCTTCAACCCCCATGGTCCAGATAAAACTCCAGAGAGAGGAGACAATAATTAAACCATTAAAAACAATTGCACCGAAAATATTGATTATTTTTAGACACATGGACTTTAAAGTCTTTATTAAATTACAGTTCTTTAAAAACTGTAATAACAAGGAAACCAATGAAAAGATCATATTTAGTCAGAAAGTGAAATTATTTTTTCCTGAAGTCCCTCCCAATTTTTTAAAAGTTTTTTAATTAATTAATTAATTAATTAATTTTGGGCTGCATTGGGTCTTTGTTGCTGCACGCGGACTTTCTCTAGTTGCCACGAGCGGGGACTACTCTTCCTTGTGGTGCACGGGCTTCTCATTGTGGTGGCTTCTCCTGTTGCGGAGCACAAGCTCTAGGCGCGCGGGCTTCAGTAGTTGTGGCACGTGGGCTCTAGAGAGCAGACTCTGTAGTTGTGGTGCACGGGCTTAGTTGCTCCGCAGCATGTGGGATCTTCCCGGACCAGGGCTCAAACCCATGTCCCCTGCATTGGCAGGCAGATGCTTAAGCACTGCGCCACCAGGGAAGCCCCCCCACCCCACTCCCTGCCAATTTTTAAGGGAAATTTGGCTAAGACAGCTGCTCTGCCACAGTCCAGCTAAGTGCGGTCTTGTTTGCGTAGCAGCCTGTGCACTCTCTCAGGGTCTGAGGAAGTGACAGTTAGGTGGTCCCTGGAGGCACAGAAAATCCAGGGTCAGCAGGTGATCCTTCCCTGGTGGCTGTAAAGGCAGTGAATCTGGCGATTCACTTCTAATCATTAGTGTCAGCTTTTTTTTCTTAAAATAATTTTTAAAATTATTAGTGAAGTTACCTTCTCATTGTTTCTTGAGGGTAAGTAGAGAGAATTGTTCTTCTGATATCGAATCTGTGGCTCAGAGATGCCAGGGGATTTTCCTGCAGCCACAACATGGGCTAGAACTGAGCAAGGTTTAGGAGAGGGTCAAGTACATGGAAATGTAAGCTCCTTCCCTTGTAACTGTGCCTTGTCCAAAAAGAGTTGGGTTGACTGCAACCCTGGCTATAGCCAATCTCTTGGGTTTCCTTCTGGTCCTGAAAATACAGAGATATATGTGTTGGAATAGATGGAAACACAGAATAGTTAAAAATGATGTGACCAAGGTCACGCCTGAGGCCCAAAGCTTATTCAGATACATATGGTTAGAGAGCATATTTTTATATCAGATGTTTGTAAACATGTTTCAGTGATTCCTGCTATCATAGAATCTTGATTCTCTACTTCTATAAGAAATATCTCCCATTTTAATATTAGAACAGACCTGGGGTAGTCTAATGGAACAAAGAGGCAGAATCAGCAGGTTCTGGAGTTCTGGATAAGGTGCTATGCCTGAGAGTTCACCTGCTTTGTTCAGTCCCCACAGCTCGCATCACTGTTGGTGGTATGATTTTACTTCCTATCACAATCACTTCTGTCCTGCTCATTTTTCTTACTTCTCTACTTCCTTTATTCTTGTATTCCTTACCTTTTTTTAAAGGCAACTTTTCAATTCTCTTTTAAAGAGGGCTTTAAAGCTGTCCTGCGACAGTGGCTTTCCCTGGTTCTGCTGTAACGTGCAAGACAGATGGGTTTTTCACTCCTGGCCTAACACGCCCGGAGAGCTGGTGAACTTTCTCCTCTTGAGGATCTCTGGGGAAGACTCCAGCTCTGTTTCTCAGTGTGTAAAATCGAGGGCGACATAGAACCAACCTTGATCACACTCAGAGTGATCGTTTGGAGGAAAAAAAAAAAGCTCACAAGAACACTTTTCCCTTCTTGCAGAAACAAATCAGAACACATTAGAAACGTGGTTTTTTTTTTTTTTTTTTTTTTTTGGCTGTGCCACACGTCTTATGGGATCTTAGTTCCCAGACCAGGGATTGAACCTGGGCCACAGCAGTGACAGTGCTGGGTCCTAACCACTGGACTGCCGGGGAATTCCCAGAAATGTTATTGGATGCTTATGTAAAGGAAATATTCACATATAGAATCATGGTTTTTAGTTACCTGCCAGTGTGATGTGAGAGGAGTTCGTAGAAAAAGATTAGGTCTTCACATATAAATAAAAATCATCTTCAAAAACCTTTGTGCTGGGCTTCCCTGGTGGCTAATTGGTTGAG